AATGAAAACCAAATTTAAGAAGGTTATGTATACAGCCACAGTGTGAGAAGCCTTTACAAAGAATGAGGTATTTCTTTGTGTGCTGACATAGAACTATATCCAAGATACCCTAAGTTTAAAAGAAAGAAAGCCAAGTACAAAGCAGTACACATCTGTATTTGTTAATATCTTTCTGAAAGGAATCACAGGAAACTAGAAAGAGTAATTTGGGGCTTGAAGTCAGGTATGAAGGTAGCCTTATTCTTTGCAGTATATGCTATTATACTATATGAATTTTTTACAGTCTATCAGATGGTTTTTAAAACTAACCACCAAGAAAATAAACAACAAAGTCTCCTTGAATGATCTGAAAAATCAATTTTTAAGAAACCATTTCATTTACAATAGCATCAAAAGAATGAAATACCTATGAGTAAACTAAACCAAGGAGTTAAGAGACTTATAGAGTGAAAACTGCAAAACACTGCTGAAAAAATAAAGACCCAAATAAATTGAAAGACACCAAGTTCGTGGATTGGAAGATTTAATATGGTTAAGATGTCAATACTACCCAAAGCAGTCTATAAATTTAATGTAGCCTCTACCAAAATTCTAGTGGATTTTTTTGCAGGCATCCAAAAATTCATAAGGAATCTCAAGGAACTCCAAATAGCCAAAATAATCATAAAAAAAAGAACAAAGTTGGATCTCATAACTTCTTGATTTCAAAACATTACAAAACTCCAGTAGTCAAGATAGCATGGAACTGGCATAAAGACAGACATATAGACAAATGGAATCAACTAGAGTGTCCAGAAATAAAACCTTGTGTATACAGTCAAATGTTTCTCAACAAGCGTGCAAGATCATCCTATGGGGAAAGGACAGTCTATTCAACAATTGGTGTTGGGCACACTGGATATCCACAAACAAAAAATAAATAAAGTGAGACCCTTTCCTTCCACCATATACAAAAATGAATTCAAAATGGATCTCAAAGGCCTAAACAGAAGAGCTAAAACTAAGAAACTCTTAGAAGAAAACATGGGAGAAAAACTTAATGATATTGAATTTGGCAAGGATTTCTGGAATATGACACCAAAAACAAAGGCCAATAAAAAAGTAAAAATAGACAATTTGGACTGTAAAAAAAAAAGTCTATGCATCAAAGGATATAATCAACAAAATGAAAAGGCAATTTAAAGAATAAGGGAAAGTATTTGCAAATCATACATCTAATAAGAGGTTAATACTCAAAATACATAAAGAGCTCCAACAATTCAAAGACATAAAAACAAATAAGCCAGTTTAAAAATGGACAAAGGGTCCAGCAGGTGGCATGGTGGTTAAAGTGCTAGATCCCACATGGCCAACTTCACAGTTCAAGTCCTGGACTCAGTGGCTTAAAAAAACATGTCAGGGGGCTGGCAGTGGTATGGTGGTTAAAGGCGCAAAATTCCCATGAGGTTCAAGTCCTGGACCTGGTGGCTTGCTTTCTCAGTTTCCCTCTCTCTCGCACTCTCTAGTCAAATTTTGAAATAATAATAATAGTAAATAAAGTTAAAATAATTATTTTTTTTAAAAAATGCGTCAGACATGAATGCATCCCTAGAGGAGAATGGAGAAGAAGGGATTGCAGCACAGCCATCCTCCCTGGGGGAGGGGATGATTTCTCACTTGCCCTCTCTCTCAGTCTGTCTCTGGTGAGCACATGTACCCTATAGTAAAAAAAAAAAAAAAAAAACTTTTTTTAAAATGGACAAAGGATTTAGACATTCTTAAAAGATGATATGCAAATGGCCGATATGCATATATCAAGATGTTCAACATCATCAATTATTAGGGAAATGAGAATCAAAACCACAACAGAATATCACTTCATACCCATTAAGATGGCTACTTGGAAAAAAAAAAAGACAAAATAGATAGCAAGTGTTAGCAAGAATACGGAGAAATTAGAACACTCCTGTGCTGTTGCAGGGAATGTAAAACAGTGCAGTTGCTATGGAAAACAGTATTGCAGCTCCTCAAAAAAATTAAAAATAGAATTACCATATGAATCAGCAATTCTGCTTATGGGTATAAAACTGAAAGCGGGTCTATCAGAGATATCCTCATGGCAATGATCGCAGCAGCATAACTTACAACAGACAAAAGTCGGAGGCGGGGCTGGCAGGTGGCGTGGTAGTTAAGGCGGCTGGACACCCACATGGCTGACCACAGTTCGAGTCCCAGACCAGGCGGCTTACTTTCTCACTTCCCTTCTCTCTCTCTCTCTGTCTCTCTCTGGTCAACCTCAAAAAAATAAAAAATAAAATAACAACAATAAATAAAATTAAAATTAAATTTAAAAAAATTTAGAGGGGGAACCAGCAGTTAGCGTAATGGCTATGTCACTGGACTCCCACGTAGTCGACCGCGGTTCATGTCCCGGACCCGGTGGCTTAAAACTCACGCTGGGCGCATGTGTGTGCGTGCCCAAGATCCCGAGAGGAGAATGGAGGAGAAGGGATTGCGGCGTGACCATCCCCCCTGGGGGGTGATTTCTCGCTTTCTGTCTCTATGTCTCTCTCTGTCTGTCTGGCGAGCGCACGCGCCCTACAGTGAAAATCTCTCCCCCAAAAAAAAAAAAATTTAGAGGCAACCCAAATGTCTACCAACAAGTGAGTGGATAAACAAAGAGTGGTGTATACATACAGTGGAATATTATTCCACCTTAAAAAGTAAGGAAATTCTTGGGGCCAACAGATGGTGTAACAGGACTCCCACATGGTCAACTGTGATTCAAGTTACGGACCCAGTGGCTTGAAAATCATGCCAGGGAACATGTGCCCAACATCCTATGAGTAAGGACTGCAAAGCGGCTATGCCCCCAGGAGGTGATTTCTCGTTTTCGTTTTGCTTTCTTTCTCTCTGCCTCTCTCCAGCAAGTGTGTGTGCCCTATGCCAAAAATTTTTTTAAAAAAGGAAATTCTGACACATACTTTGACAAAAGTGAGTCTTGGGGACCAGCAGATGGCATGGTGGTTAAGGGTAAGGGTGTTGGACTCCCACATGGCTGACCATGGTTTAAGTCCTGGACCTGGTGGCTCTCTCTCTCTCGCTCTCTCTCTCTCTCAATCTGTCCCTCTTTGGTCAATTCAAATAAATAAATAAAGTTAAAAGTAAAATAATTATTTTTAAAAAGTGAGTCTTGAAGATACATGCTAAGTGGAATAAGCCAACTAGTAGAAGATAAAACTGTATGATTCTCCTTATATGAGGTATTTAAAGCAGTCAAACTTAATGAAACAGAAAGTAAAATTGTGATTTCTAGGGGCTGGGGTAGGGAGAAATTGGAAGTTGTTCAATTAATATAGTGCTTCAGTCTTGTCAGATGAAAAAGTCTGGGAGATTGTTGCACAACAATGTGAATGTATAATAGTTAACACTACTGGAACCAGCAGGTGGCATAATGGTTACATTGCTGAACTCCCACATAATCAATGGTAGTTCAGGTCCTGGACAAGACACCTTAAAACTCATGCCAAGCATGTGTGCATGTGTGTCCAAAATCCCAAGAGGAGAATAGAGGAGAAGGAATTACAGTGTGGGCATTCCCCCTGAGGGGTGATTTCTCACTTTCTGTCTCTCCATCTCTCTCTGTCACTCTAGCAAGCACATTCACAGGACGAAAATCTCTCTTAAAAAAAAAAAAAAGTTAACACTACTGAACTGTACTGTACACTTGGAAATGGTCAAGATAGTAAATTTTATGTTATGCATATTTTACTACCAAAAATAATGTTTCAAAGAAGTCTCTAGATTCAAGCATTTTCTGAATAATTCCCTTGAAGGATTTTTGCCTTCTCTTGAGCTGTTAATAGGTTCATCTACCCACTATTTGACTAAAATCCTAATCTTTTTCCTAGCTTTAAGTCTTAACCAAATTTCTCTTAATATTTTTTATTTTGATTTATTAAAGCTAAAGCTGCTTTTCTTGAAATTAAAAATATATAAAAATACCTATTTAATGACTGCTGTAAGCTATATAGCCTTAGCTAGGTGCTACTTTATAGTATGTTCATTCTACTCACTGAGTTTTATGCCTAAAGCCAGACATATATTCACAGATATTTATATATCAGCTGAACTTGCTATTAAAAGTATTTCGATGGGGACCAGCAATTAGCATAATGACTATGTCGCTGGACTCCCACGTAGTTGACCGTGGTTCAAGTCCTGGACCCAGTGGCTTAAACTCACACCCAGCGCGTGTGCGTGCATGCCCAAGATCCCGAGAGGAGAAAGGAGGAGAAGGAATTGCAGTGTGGCCATCCCCCCTGGGGGGTGATTTCTCACTTCCTATCTCTATGTCTCTCTCTGACTTTCTGGCGAGCGCACGCTCCCTATAGCAAAAACCTCTCCAAAAAAAAGAAAAAAGAAAAAAAAAGCATTTAGATGAAGATATTTTGTGAATCAATAAAATGTGGGGGGAAAAAGTCATGGAAAGAAATTGTAGATACCAGAGACAGTGTGGGAAGAGGGTAGGAAGTGGCAGAAGGTGAGAAGTAGGGAATCAAGGGGAAAAGAAAGAAAAATTAAGAAACAAGAAATGGAAAATTATTTGTTGACAATAACACATATGGTATGATGCATGGTAATATCCTTTATTAATCCAATGTATAGTGTAGTCTGGATGGGAAATCACATTTTGCATGCTGTCATGATGTACAGTCAATGAATGTAAAGTAAATTATTTTTTAAAATAATAATTCTCTTTGTTTTTAGGTCCAACAAAATATCATTGTCATCACTATCATCATCCTTTCTTGAATATTTTACCTTATTTAATCCTCACTGCCCCATGAAGTCATGTAGTATTTTTTACAGGAAACTGAAGCTCAGAAGAGTTAAGTAACTTGCCCAAGATTCACAATAAGCAGAGCTTAGCCCCAGACCCGGGTCTGTCATTCCAAAACTTAATTCATTCAATCGACCATTCCTCCCATTCAACCAATCCTCCTTCTTCTGCCTCCCAGGAATTGTGATGTGAGGATATCGATGAGAGAAAAGAAGGGCAAGCAGGAAATAGCCAGTTGTTGCAGGGACTTCCTCTTTCAATGGCCCTACTGCACCTCAACCCTGCCCATCCATGGGAGTTTTCAGGTGAATTAAATCAGACACGTGTAGCAGCCCTAGGGAACTAGATGAAGGTCTTATTGTATTAGTCATTTTTCCTGTCATCTTGAATTAGTGTCATATTAGCTTAATGCAATACTAACATGATACAGAAATGTTAGCATATTACAGACTACTCAGTGTGTCAAGTAAGAATTTTATCATATTACTCTGCCACTGATATTTCAAAGAAGGGAGAAAAATATGGGTGTGCCCATAAAACAGAGTCAGTCAATGCCAAATCCAGGCAAAACTCCCATATGGAACTTGAATTGGAGAAAAGGGCAAGAGAATGTGTTAGGATTTCTGATTCCAAGATATTTACTCAAATATATATTCAGGGAAAAGCTAGCCTAAGTGTCTTCTAACAATTTAACAAAGATGATGAGTGTCTTAATTGATATTTTCCACCTGATTCCAAAAGTATTGACAAAGAACAGACTTGATGAGAACTGATAAGTAAGAAAACCCCTACTTTGACCCCAAAATTTAGATCTTTAGTCCTCATATGAAGTCTAAACCTCTGCTAGGTCAGTAACACCTTGTTGCTGGGTAAATGGTAGAGGTTCTTATCTTGGAATAAAAAAGAACTTTACAGGGTTTACCATTGATTGTGGAGTGTTGTGGAGGGCTCACTTAAATCTGTACATAACATTGAGTGTATATAAATGCTTTTTTCTTAAAAAATGTTGGCAAATTCTTAAAGTAACCCCCAAATACTTAGGCACCTCTACATTAAAGGTAGATGAAGAAACATCAAACTGAAGTGAGACAAGGAATAACATAAAGACCTGGATTCTAGTCCTAATTCTGTCATTGACTTGCTGGGTGACATTTAATCACATCTACCTTAAGTACTTCATCCAGGAAATAGGTATAATCCTACCTGTGTCATGTATACTTCACCAGGTTTGGGGGACGATTAATGAGATCATGTATTTAAGGAAATTTCAAAGAGGATAAATCTATAATAATAATAACAAGCTAATTGTACTTCCCTGAAAAATTATTATCAGTTTTCAAGGAGGAGAAGTTCACATATCCCTCTGCTCATACCACCCTGATTCAGGACTCCTATATTCCATTATCAGTCCTCTGACAACAGCATCAATTCCTGGAGGAATAACCTAGTCCGTGATCAAACAAACAAACAAGCAAACAAACAAAAATGATCAGCTACTTTGGCCAAGAGAGATAAAGCCAATTTCTCACCGTGAGTCCAAGGCCTCACATCCAAACCAAGGGAATGCTATCGAACGGAAGGCAGTACTACTATAAATGTGTGGTTCCCCTTAATTAAAAATCTATTAGCAAATTTCATGATAGGCTGATGGTATTTACAAATATAAACTAATAGCTATTTATTAGAATGTTTATTCTAAGGTCTTAAAATGAGTTTTTCCTTGTAGGGTGATAATTGTTCAGATGGCTTCCTGCTTATTTAATTACTTCAATTAAGGAGGATTCTCTGAGACAAGTTTCCTCTGGCTTTGGATCTTTGTGTTGTCATTGGGGCCTCATTGATTGTTGCTTGAGGGCCAAGCTGTATCTGTGCCACCCACTACCAAATATCAATGTTGAAAGAAATAAAATCAGTATGAAAAGAAAGAAGAAAATTCAGCCTGAGTGTGTGTTTCCTAGGCCCTCCTTCAGAGACAAAGAGGATCTCAAATTACTAGACAGAGCCTTTGGTTCAAAAAATGGTTCTAGTTATGTTTAACCACCCATATTTCCACCTCATGCCACCTCATCACCAATGATTTTTAAAGTTAGGAATATGGAAATATTAGGGGAAAAATATTACGGTTCA